AAAAAACCAGAAACAGATAACAGTTCCCCAGCTTTTATTAAGTTTCAAGGCTTGAAGCATGTCAAGATTGGACCTTTCATGATTTTGGAACAGTCAAAATTCTTTTATTATAACAAGACTACTGAAGACTACAGCAGAAAATAATCTATGTACTTCACAGTCTAAATAGTACAACTTCTGGATCTTTTTCAGAAAAATTAAAATGTCAACATTGTCAGGGGACAGTGATGCCCCCCAGGCACTGACAATGTCTCCTGCTGTTGTGTCTCAACTGAGGTGGAGTCTTAGAGGCTAGATGATCAACACAACAGTACATGCTCTGCCTACCTAACACGATCTACGATGTACGTTTCAGAGTTTGAAAAAAGATTAGAATATGAATTGTTTATGATTCAAAGTGTAAACAAGATTTTATCAAGTGTTGTGCGCTTTAATAAAAAAACCACATTGTATCCCTTCAGTGAATTCATGTCAACGAACAGGTATAACAAACTTGGTCAATAAAAATATTAAATTTGATATAAAACATCACTAGACATGATGATTTACCATTTAAATTGTATTTCCTTCTCTCCAAGGCATTGTTTTATATGCAGATATTAAGATTACAGTGTGTATTTTCTCGTAAACTAAGCTGGAAATAGCAATCAGCTGTACACACGTTTTCTCCCACCCTACTGGTGATTCAGTTAAAAAGTACCCAGTGATGCAACTTCAAATAATTTTGAAATGGTGGGAAGAAATTGTATCTGAAATTATTGTTTTATCAGGAATAATATATTCCAATATCATGTTATTTTAGTTGCAGCTTTAACTATATATATATTAAAGATTATAAAAACCATAAGCCTATCACTTTGGTACAGCTGATTTCTATTGTAGGATACTTTTACGTATGGAACAGTTTGACCAGTCACCATAGGAACATGTATTTCGATTGCCAAAATTTAATGTTGACATATGATAGTCAAATTGCTACAAATATGACTTTTAATGAGTCAGAGTACGGCATTTATGATGTATGTATCCATTCTCTGGCAACTAAAGTTTGTTTCAAGGCGTCAACAGCGGTAATCTGACTGTGGCTGCTGTAGATAACAGTGAGTTGTGCAATCTACCGATCACTTCACACACGATTTCGCCAAAGTTAATGTTAACAAATTTTGAATAAAATTAATAAAATACATAAAATACATGACAAACATAAGTCCAGAAATAGAATGATTATGTTTTAATAACCAGATAGTATATTAAATTGCGTACTTCAGTTTGGATTTGTTGACTGGTATTTGTGGTGTTACGTGATCAGCTGATAATCTATTTTTGAGATGGGGGAAAAACTTTGTGTTAGAGTAAAACTTTAGCTTATTAAAAATGTAAGTAAATTTTGGGAGGCATGCGTTACCGTGCACTATAATCGAGTTAGACCTATATTAAAGGACTCAATAGCGAGTGAATACTGTACTTAAGATTTGAGTTCCATATCGTGTCATATCGATAAATAGGTCCACATGTATCATGTATCATATTGTGGGTCAAGTCGTGCATGTATCATGATATAACATTTATACTAAGTTTTCCTATAATAATTAGATCAACATCAAGTGCTTTTATGAGTTATCATGGTGTAATATTTATACATCATTTCATATAATTATTGTTTAGCAAGTAATACTTATCATCAGGTAAAATGCATATATAAAATATCAGTAGTTTCAGTTATAGCTTTTTAGATATAACATTTATACTAAGTTTTCCTATGATAATTAGATCCACATCAAGTGCTTTTATGAGTTATCATGGTGTAATATTTATACATCATTTCATATAATTATTGTTTAGCAAGTAATACTTATCATCAGGTAAAATGCATATATAAAATATCAGTAGTTTCAGTTATAGCTTTTTAGATAGATGCTAGCCTAAGGTAACGGGAGCGCATCTCCTAGACATACTATTCAATAAGACAAGAGTTATGTCTACATAGTTTAATAGATTTGAAGCTTTTAGATAAATGCTAGCCTACGGTATCAATGTTAGGCAGAAGGGGTTTGACACTCATACCAAGCAGATCTCTCTCCCACAGCCCAGAGGGTTGTACCGACTCTTGCACCCTCAGCTATATTTTTTAAGATATTGTTAATTGTTCATTGTTAATTGTTCTTGTAAATAAAATTGTAATTAGTCTCCTGTAACTTCGGCTCTTTGCTGACTAATTCCCCCAAGAAACCAGCACGCCATTTGGAAGGTTTTGTTCAACCGAACAGAACCTTAATAATTCCATAATAGATGCATCGTTTCACCTACCCTGATGAACCTTATGATCGGACTTAGGACCATCAGATAACTTCAAATCCAGACCCATTAGGTGAATCTGAGCCACCAACCATTACACAGGCGCTCTCACAAGCAGCACTTCACACTGATTCAGTTGATTCTGCAATCAACACTTGTCAGCAGAAGGGGCTTCAGGAAGTATGATCAACCAAACAGGGACCATCTGTCTATGCACCACCACAGTCATGGTGTTCATCTGAACAGTCGTTACATCCTAGAGGGTCACCAATTCCCTCATTGCCTTGCCACTCAACTCGCCAGCCACAAAGCAAATTGAGAGACTATTATCTTGACTATTAATTCATATGACCTTAAGTGTAGTTTGTGTTTCTGGTTACAATTTCACTTATTCCAGGTAATAACTGGAGTTATTACATTTTTAAACTTATCCTATCTCACTCTATGCATTCTTCATTCTTCTTTCGATCCCTTGTGTCGAAATGTCCTTGATCAAAGTTTCCAGCTTGTGAGCTTCTTTTGCCCAGTTATCCATGCATCACCATGATGACCACCCCAGTATCTAGGTCATGCACCCAGACCTCATGCAGCACATTATGCTCGATCTGGTCCACTGACTGCCTCATCATTCTCTTTCTTTTCGCCTCCCTGTGGAGACATACTTCTTTTTAGAGAATATTCAGACAGGCCTTTTTTTTCTCAAAATTTGTTGGAACTTATTGCATATAAATATGCATGAGGACCAAGCCAAACGTCCGGCCTGCATGAAGTGCCGCCACATATTTTCGCCGGTGGATCCTCATAAATTATGCTGCGATTGTCGTGGTGTCTGTCAACCAGGTTTGCAGTGTTTGGAATGCTCTCACTTGTCACAAAAGGCATTTTCAAACTAAGAAAATGCCAGAAGAGAATTATTGATAGCCGATCTTGGATACTGAACATGGACACTCTGCGTCCAAGAAACCTAAACGTGCGACCAAGACTAGCAGTCATCCAACTGTTAAATCTGTGGTAAAGAAACCACCATCAGACAGGGTCACTTCCCTGTCAGTGGAAGAGCATCTTCCTGAGGCAAGAGAGTTAACTGACTTTAAAAGTCCAGTTTCCACCCTTGCCGAACTAGGCTGGAATTTCTTTGCTCGACCATAGCGCCACCAGTGGTTATTACGAGTTATGTCCCTTCTTAGTCTCTCCTATGGACCAATCAGATTCCACCTCTCGTATGACTTGCATTTGTTTAAAACAAATTGACGGCGCCCAGTCAAGACGATCTGATCGATAACCAAGATCTATATTGTGATACAATGGGTCTTACATCGAGAAGTGCATCATATCACGTGAGCACCTTGATTAAAAACATGAAAAGATTGGGAAAATATCTGTTGACAACGAGTTGGTGGTGCACATGCTTTGCAAATCCTGCAATCGACTGAAATCTGCATGACAGTTTACGAACTGGATTTCAATTTCATTGTGAGATTTTGATTGGACTATGCATAGACTTGTTAGTCCAGCCAAAATGTGACTCCATAATACCAGCCTAGTTCGGCAAGGGTGGAAACTGGACTTTTATAGTCAGTTAACTCTCTTGCTTTGGGAAGATAGTGGAAGAGATACTGTTTCCAACAGTTTTTTGCACGACAAAGTTCCTGCTAGTTCTCACAGTCTAACAGCAATGCACCAACTGCAATGAACTCCCAGTCAACAAATACGTCAGTCAAACGTGTGGTGCTGGCAGAAGATTTTGACCAGTCTACCGACTTCTGTTTACATCTCAGACCTGATTTACAGGAAGTCATGTATCGACTTCAGAGATTACAGCGTGACCAGTCGATCCTACATTGACCAGCCATACCTCTACTCTGATCGATCAAGCCATTCCAGAATTATCTACTGCAATTACTATCGATTCTAGCAGAAACCAGGCATCGACATCGCCTACTGGACAGAGAAAGAATAGAGCAGGGTCTCGACCCAAGGACATTCGTCGAGATAAGGGTCAACATTCTACAGAGAAGTCGACATTGAACCACCATTGACCTACCAAGGGTAGACATTCGGTGGCTAGACATTCAGAATCACCTTCGAAGGGTTGCCATCTACTAGACATATTAAAGAGTACTTAGAGGTAATTATATGGCAATTTTCATTTTATTCTCCATATAAACCCAAGACCACCATATCAACCCAAGGATTTACAATCGGTATTGGGGTCAAGGGTTGATATTAAGTATGATATGAAAACTGCCATAAAATGAGTGTGTTATTCCAGTCATTGTTACTTTGAGAACACCCTCAAGATAGCAAAGATCAAAACTCTTTCAAGGTAATTCTTTGGGAATAATATTCTCTAAACCATAACTTTTTTTGTAGAGATTCAGGTACAGAAATGGATTGAGTGGTCAGACTGTATTACTTGACTGATTCCCTGAAGACATGGAGTCTTACTCATACTTTGAATTACTAGTTTGCCTGGTCCAGACTTAATTATTTATTTATATATGATATAGACAGAATATTCCAGACTTTAAACAGTTTTTTAAATTACTCAAACACTCAAATGATAACAGAAAAGGTTTCATTTGATGGTTGGTAATATCTTGTACCTGTCATTCATTAGATGAAGTGTTGAAGTATTTAGGTTTGAAGTGATCTTTGTTTAAGGAGTCACGTTACTTCTTGATTATGCCCTGTTTCATTTGCAGGAACTTGCGGTGTTTGAGAACCTTGTTCATCAAGTGAATATCACATCTGAAAGTAAGTAATTTTGCTTCTTAATTGCTGAGGTTTCATGGGTTGGAAGGACAACGACCAGTATAGTTGAATACCCGCTTTTTTGTGTAAAGTTATCGTGTGACGTTTGCTTACATCAGTAATGTACTCTGGACAACTACTCACCGTAACACAATACTCTACAATTCTCTCATGTTTAGATCTTAATTTTGCTGTAAACACTCTGCACTCAGCATGCAGTGTAACATTGTTTACTATTACTTTCATAGGCACAATATATTCAGTGATAATCAGTGATAAATACTTTCATGAAGAGCAATGCCACCAATACACACCCACTACCAAACACTGTCATAATGACATAGTATCAATTTGTTTCAAAAGTATTGTCACTTCAGCATATGCTTTTATTTTGAACATGTTGAAGATCATCCACATTTTGAGTTCATGTGTCACATAATTTTGCAAATGTTATCTCTAGGATTGTCATCTGCAATAGCTGCAACAGTGGACACTGCACACTGGACTTTTAGATCCAACTTTGTTGGAATGTCCATCAAGTCTCTCATCAGTTATCTGGCACAAGCATTGTCACATTGGTAGTGAAGCTCTATTTGGTATCAGTTGGAAATTAGCATTTCACACGCAGATCACTCCAGTATTTCAATAAACAATCTGGAAAGTATCTCGCTGTTTCTTAAGAAGAATCGCATGTCTCACATCATTGTAGGTTGGTTGCAATTTACCACATACAATGTTGGCCAAATACACAATGTCACCTTCATAACAAGTATGTTGTTTTACATCATGCTTTATTTACTCTGTATATGTCAATTTGTTGGCCAACAAAGGACCAGGCTTGACTGAAAGTAGCATCTGCAATTTTGCCCCTGTTGATATCCCTGTTCAGAAACAACATGGCTGGGGTCAGCTACATGATACATAGGAAGTGTCCTTGGAAGTTGTCTCTTTCAGTACTTTCTATCTGTCCTTGGCAGTTGTCTCTTTCAGTACTTTCTATCTGTCCTTGGAAGTTGTCTCTTTCAGTACTTTCTATCTGTCCTTGGAAGTTGTCTCTTTCAGTACTTTCTATCTGTCCTTGGAAGTTGTCTCTTTCAGTACTTTCTATCTGTCCTTGGAAGTTGTCTCTTTCAGTACTTTCTATCACCAGTAGCTTTACGTAAGATTTAACTCTTTCAACTCCAGTCAACCAGAAGCTTTAACTGCTGTGACACCGAGTTCCCAGAGACTCTGGAGTGATAGATGAAGCCTACATTTATCAAGGAAATTATCTGCTTGTAAACATCTTTGCTACTACATGTACGTGTTATAAACCATTTGAAGGGTCTAATCCTACTGTTTATGAATATGAAAGTAATGTTTATCACATTATTTAAATAATGCATTTACAACTTAGTTAAGTTTGTTTCAAATAGAAAGAAAATGTAAACACATTCATAACGTCTAGATTAAGAACCAAGGATGTGAAAATTTGATATAAGATTAGCAGTATAGGTAATGGGGGTTCTGGACCACTTCCACTGGAGCCGGATTCATATACCTATACTGCTACTACAGGTGGCATTTTTTATGCCAAAATGATTATGCGATTCAACGATAGTCATGAGATTAAGTTAAATTGGCTCTAGCTCACCAATACCTGGGGCCAATCATTGCTTTAGATGAGCCTAAATGGTAATAAAAATATTCTTCATTATTTTTATTGATAAAGCGATATTCAACATTTTTATTAAGTTCTTCGTTCATTTTACTAGGAGACCAGACTATATAACTACACTCTTCTTGTAAATTGATAAGAAACAATTGATAACCATATTTGGTTGGTTTGACTGACATCACTGATATAATAAAAACCTTGTGGTAATTCTCTCCATTTAATAGCTTTTTCGATTTCCATTATTATCCCCCGCCGCGCGAAAGCGCGAAGCGGGGGATATAGTATTCACGACCGTCCGTCCGTCCGTCCGTACGTCCGTCCGTCCGTACGTCCCACCTGTTTGTTGCCGCGATATCTCAAGAACTAAACACTGGATTGTCTTCATATTTGGAACTATGGTGTATATACAGACTTCGCAGACACCAGTCGGTTTTGGTGACCTTGACCCCATTTTCAAGGTCACAGCAGGCATATCTGCTTTTGGAGTTGGAAAACGGTGTTGCCACGATATCTCAAGAACTAAACACTGGATTGTCTTCATATTTGGAACTATGGTGTATATACAGACTCCGCAGACACCAGTCGGTTTTGGTGACCTTGATCCCATTTTCAAGGTCACAGCAGACAAATCTGCTTTTAGAGTTGGAAAACGGTGTTGCCGCGATATCTCAAGAACTAAACACTGGATTGTCTTCATATTTGGAACTATGGTGTATATACAGACTCCGCAGACACCAGTCGGTTTTGGTGACCTTGATCCCATTTTCAAGGTCACAGCAGACAAATCTGCTTTTAGAGTTGGAAAACAGTGTTGCCGCGATATCTCAAGAACTAAACACTGGATTGTCTTCATATTTGGAACTATGGTGTATATACAGACTCCGCAGACACCAGTCGGTTTTGGTGACCTTGATCCCATTTTAAAGGTCACAGCAGGCAAATCTGCTTTTGGAGTTAGAAAACGGTGTTGCCGCGATATCTCAAGAACTTATCGCTGGATTGTCTTCATATTTGGTACTATGGTGTACAGGCGGGGGATATTTTGTCACTCTGTGACAAATACTTGTTATATATATTTATGTAAGCATTTGTCTAAATGTGATCAAACGATAGTAAGCAATCTATTTTTAATCTCCAACCAGTTCTTTGGTTTTGGCACGGAATAATTGACGCGCTTGTTGCCTCCCCTGTTCTATGAACTTTTTTTTCTCGTCTTCGCTAATACCACTGGTCTTATGAGATTTTGATCGAATCTCCTGCTTCATTGCGTTGTATTTGGTGAGTTCCGACAGAACTAAACGAAACTCATCCTCGGATATCTTACAATCGACCATTGCTGTCGAAATATGATCCTCAATGCTGTTCAACTTTGCTTCGGCGAGTATCCGAATACTATCGTGTTTTAATGCTTTCTTTTGTAACCTACGAGAAATAAATTTTATCGATATTCCTGCCAGTCCCGAGACTCCAGCGGTTATTTCCATACCGAGCACGATAGGCGCGGCGATTATAGTTGATAATAAACCGACACCCGCTACACCGAGTCCCATGCCAGCTGCTACAAGCGCGGTGTCAACTCTGTCCAGAGCATTCACGGCTCTGCGATACTTTTTATACAATCCAAGTCTCAACTCCCTATCCTTCTCTATTCGATGTTTTATGTCGCTTATTTGATGTAATCGAAATCCAGCAACAGTATCCATCTTTTCAAATGCTTCATCAAGCGCTGGATATAAACTCATAGTGTAAATTACGATCATATAATAGTCTTTAATTGGTCTTGCTTAAATGTTTTGAGACTATACATCAACCTTATCAAATGTATATTATACGGCAAGAATATCTTAGAAAGAGAAATGCTGTCACTTTTAATAATTTGAACCCCCTCGAGGGTTGCAACGGTTGATGCTCCGATATGAATAATACTGCAACGTCGACGTTGGTGTTTCTTTAGCCATTTAATCGATAGACCTGGTAATATTTCAAAGGCATTTTCCGGTGCATCTCCGAACAAGACTTCAATAATAAGCGTAGAAATATTAGGTATTACACTCAAGTTAACTTTAATATCATCGAATTCAGTAACCAAATTTAAACTAACGTTTTGGATTGCCGGACGACTATATAACATATGACCTGGGTTTTCTGGCAGGGGTGTGACTAACACACTTTTTTGTTTTGACGGGATATAAGCCGCGAGTACGATGCCACTATTTATTATCTTAGTTAAATTATGTCCCTTACCCATCATCACATAAGGTGGGGTAATGACGATATTCAGTAGCCACTCGATGTTTGCTTCGACCATAGTCCATTTATTCTCGCCGTTGAGAATAATATTGTACGAAGTGTTTTTAATGAGTCTACTAACCTCGACATCGCTTAAATCTTCTAGATTACCTGTGAATGTGACTTCTTTCCGCTTGTATACATTATCGTGTAAGTGTAAAGCGTATAACTTACAATTGTTACCGGGTTTATCAAATCCTTCTGTGTCTCCGAGATCGGAAAGCGCAATTGTATTACATTGTCTGAGCGTTCCAGGGCCTGATGCATCAACCATTATTTTTAATATGGAGTGTTACACTTAAGTATCCTATATGTACTGGTTGGTGTTTTACATCTAATACAGAAATTTTGAGGTCTGAAATAATACCACGCTTCAATTTTTTATATTGTAATGACGAGAAAGATTCTGTTCTACCGCTATTATATTTTTCATTTTTCACTGGAACACATCTGAGTAGAGTTGAAGGACTTTCTAGTTGAATATTATTTGTCGTACTGATTTGATCAAGATGGATACACAACTCTTTATAGGGAACTAAATCGGGTAATTTAACATCAGGATGTGTGCCAATTAAGCGATAAAATTCCCATGTACTTGGTTGGTCCAATGTACCTGGTTGTTCCAATACAATTATATTATTTCCATGGTCTATTTTCACTGTCCCATTCGACTCATTTTGTGTTAGACTAACTCCATTAGGCTTAAAAATTTCATCATTGAGTGAGCTTACGCTGTATTACCCATCAGGTATAGTAATGCGTTTGATAATATTACCATTTGTAGCCATTAGCATTATCCTATTATTATTTTTTGCAGCATTTATATTGGTCCACCGTGGGTAATACGTTACATCGCATAGAGCGACTTCGAGCTGATCATCCGAGTTATCAATAGTATGAAGCAGTTGAATAGACTGACCATTTGTTATTCCCAGGAGTGTAACATACATATCAAATATACAATGATACTATATCATAACTTAAATATGGAATCAACCATTATTTATAATATGGAGTGTTACACTTAAGTATCCTATATGTACAGGTTGGTGTTTTA